GCTCTGGTATGGTTTTAGATGGTCCAAATTGGCAAGAAAACTATGTGTCTTTTTATCTAACACTGAACACGCAATGAGACGAGCTGAATTTACAAATACACTAGAACTAATGACATTGTGTGCAGCTGAGATTTCTTGATTGAGATGTGTGCAATTTGAACATGGGTTCTATTCTATTGCAGGTGCTTATCTTTGCAAGATAGTGGTAGAAATAAGGATAATGAGATCACAAGGTTGAAGCAGGAGTTTGCAGCAGAGGAGTATAGTGAAGAGGTGAAGACTGAGGTAGCTTCTGATAAGAAAGATGGTGACATTGATGGAGGGATGCTATGTCCTGAAGCAGAAACAGGAGAGTTAGTAAACTGACATATCCAAAAGGACTTCACCCTCCCTCCCCACGCTCTCGTTGTCTGTATATTGTACATTAATTTTTTTTTTTTATTTTTTCTTGATCTTAAATTTTCTATATCTCTTTAATAGGCCAATAATTTTTTGAGACTTAGGAATAAATTCCCAAGCTGTTTGTAACATGATGCATAGGCATGATTTTTGAATGGGACTGCCCCCTTTCCCAACCCTCCCATTAAATGGTTGATTGTGGAGGCTGCAAAATGGGAATTGGGAAGTTCAGGACAACACTAGGGATGACATTCTTCCTCTCACTAACCTGCTAGACCGCATTCCATTTTTTTTAGTGTGCATACGGGGATTGCGTTCATTTATCAATTTAGGGTTAGAGAATATGTGCTAGAATGAAACCTATAACATTGTTATCATAATTGATGGGTAGGCAACATAATGTTTTTCAAATTTTTGGAATTGGTTTTTGATGGATTTGAAAATGATGGTAATGTTTTTGAACTTTTCATTGTTTTTGTTTTTGAAAACACTCAGAAAAGGAAAATACAACCCAAACAGGTTACTACAGTTCTCTTAACAAGATTTATTGTGCATTTAAAAGTTATAGGGTGTCCACTTCAATTAAATCTTTATCTCTCTTCGTCAATATATGTGGGGACGAAAGAGTTGAAATCCCTAAGTTATTCTTGTTTACGTACTGGAATTAGATAGATTACATTTCTTAAATTTATTAGCTTTAGAATATCAATGCCTTTGGACTTGCTATTATCATATTCCTCTATTTGGATTGATTTAGGATTGTGTGGTTTTTGAGTTGCTGTTGCTGTTCGTTTGAGTTGTTTGCTTGCTGTGGTTGTGTGCTGCTGTTGGTTGGTTCCAAAATGTATACAAATGGTATGGTTCTCCAATCATTACTTTTGTGGTTACTTCAATCATTATATTTTGGAGCATGCATTAACCTAATTTTAGTTGTAAGTTTCTAAGCATGAGCATTGGTTCTTTTCTACTAAATGATTTTATAAATTTTATCTATAAATTTTTTCTATAAATGAAAGTGTATTTTTTGTAGTGTGCTAGGCGTCTATTTTTCTGCTCTCTCTACGCTCTCTACTCTCATCTCTCTCGTCTCTCTCTCTATTTTTTTGTCATTTTTCTTCAGGCCCACTGAATTCTCATGTTGGATTGGCGCAGTAGTCCGATACAGTGTGCTTTATATTGGTGTTTATAACTTACTGTGAATACTACTTTGCTTTGCTCTACAAAATTGAAAGACTCTCCTCGTCTCTGGTTTCACTTTGGTTGCCTCATTTGATTCATG